TCAGGGGCTGCAGCAGGGGGCGTAGCCATCTCAGGGGCTGCAGGAGGGGACGTAGCCATGTCAGGGGCTGCATTAGGGGGCATAGCCATGTCAGGGGCTGCAGTACGGGGCATAGCCATGTCAGGGGCTGCAGCAGGGGGCGTAGCCCTGTTAGGGGCTGCAGCAGGGGGCGTAGCCATCTCATGGACTGCAGTAGGGGGCTTAGCCATCTCATGGACTGCAGCAGGGGGCTTAGCCATCTCAGGGACTGCAGCAGGGGGGTTAGCCATCTCAGGGGCTGCAGCAGGGGACATAGCCATCTCAGGGGCTGCAGCAGGGGACGTTGAGTTGTCAATGGTCATTGAGGCTGTCGACTCTTCTGTGGACGTCAACCTGGGGACTTCTGCAGACCTTGAGACCTCCGTGGATGTGGAGACCACCTCAGGAGCTGCTTTGGTGGCTGTGAGACCGTCCGTGGTCGTTGAAGTGTCCGTAGTCGTCGAAGCGTCCATAGTTGCCGAAGTGTCCGTAGTCGTCGAAGCGTTTCCAGTCGTTGAAGCGTCCATGGTCGTCAAGTCCTCTGTGGATGTCAACATGGGGACCTCTGTGGATGCCGAGTCTTCTGTGGACATCATCCTGGGGACCTCTGCAGACGTCAAGTGTTCTGCGGACGTCAACCTGGGGACCTCTGTGGACATCGAGGCTGTAGCAGACTCTGGATTGGCTGCAGCAGACTCTGGACCAGCTGCAGCAGACTCTGGACCAGCTGCAGCAGACTCTGGAGACTCTGGACCAGCTGCAGCAGACCCTTCGTATGAGTAGTGGTGGATCAGGTGTGTCTGGTAGATTCAGTGGTTGCACAGGTGAGTTGGAGGTGGATTGAACAATGATTTGCTCTTTAGAAGACCTTATTTTATTGAGCATGTGGAAATACTCAGGGATCTGAATGAGTCCGGGTATAGGCAGTAATAGTCTCTCAGCGATGAAGTAAGTGGTGTACTGGTACTGTGGATCTAGGTTGTGTGCAGCAGAAGTGAACAGTCTTTGGAGTTGTGTGTTTAAAGTGACAAGGTCAGCGGGAGACTTATCAGTAGAGTTCACATACTCCCTGACCGACATGTTAATATGTTCTGGTGACGCAGCTTCAGGTGAGCCACAGCTCGCCTGCTTCTTTGGTGAGTGAGAGGTCGGGTGCCCCTCCTCTTGTGAAACTCCCCACTGCTCCTCTGGCTGTGTGTGGGACTGCTTGGGGAGCACCAAAGTTGTAGAGGAGGAGGAGCCCTTCTGGACCCTCTCGGTACCGCAGTAAACAGGTGGATCGTGACCGCTGGCATCAGAGTTTTCTGCGTGTTCGGTGGAACGATATAGGATCTGACGTCCTCTTCTACGATGATGGTGGCGAGATGAAGCATTTAGAGGAACAGTATGAGGAGCTGGTTGTTCCAGCGACTCGGGTGACGGACTGGACTCGCTGGGGCTTGGAGCGGGGGTGATAGGAGACAAGCGCGCAGTATGCGTCTCTCCTCAAAAACCTCCATAAGAATCTCCTTCATGCCAGGGGAGTCACATAGTCCGGGGAGGCAAAAAAACTCTTCCATCATATCCTCAGTAGCTGCCCATCTCAGTCTCAGATCGTGGGAGGAAGCCACTGTGTCCACATAATGTCGCGTTACTTTGTGGAGCTGCTGGAAGTCTGCTGTTGTCAGTGCCGCAAGGAACCCAGATGGGAGCGGTGGACACCAAGGTCCCTGATGGAATTGGTGGACACCAAGGTCCCTGATGGGAGTGGTGGACACCAAGATCCCTGATGGAATTGGTGGACACCAAGGTCCCTGATGGGAGAGGTGGACACCAAGATCCCTGATGGAATTGGTGGACACCAAGGCCCCTAATGGGAGCGGTGGACACCAAGGTGCCTGATTCAGCCTTTATTTATACAGGTTAATCCCAATGAGCCTATGAGCTTCAAAGAGGTGGACATCAAGGTCTTCTTCTACATTCTTGGCTTCCTTGGACTTTTAGCTGATTACACAAAATCCTGATGAAACTTTAATCTTTGAATATGACCCTAATTAATGTTCAGTCTGTTCATTTGAGCTTTTTTCACCAGAGAAATTAAGTGAAATCATGTCCTCAGTTGTTGCGTCAGTATTTAGACATTGTTTTTCATACGTCATCACATTTAGACAGTTGGGACTGTCTTTTTGTCCAATCCAATGATCCTGGCTCCTGTTTGTGCTCCTGCTTGAGGACTTCTCATCAACCCATGTCTACAATAGATCTAGGGTTAGAGATGAGTGAAATCAGCTCTGAGAGCGGCTTGTGCATTGATCGGCCTCATGTAGGTCTCTGCCTGCAGGTAAATAGTGTTGATGAAGCCGTGTTTGTCTTGCAGATGAGATTATTTGTTGACCTTTCAGTGGAGATGCTGCTGAATGATTCTTCTCCCAATAAAGTGATTTTACACCAGGTTAATTAAGGATCTCACTGAGATTCTGGAGAGAAGCAGAACTGAATTGATGCTTATTCCTGACTGTTCTCCCTCAAAAATAATCCAGGCTGTGGTTGAGCATTGTTCTGCAGATGTTTCTGTCTAATTATGTAAAGTAACACATGTGGTCTTGAGATGGACCCATGGAGTAGGGTCAGATATCAACCAGTAAGGAATTATTTCTCTGTGTGTCAACAAAAGGAGTGTTTCCTGTCCTCAAGGCAGAAGATCACTGCCATCCCATCTTCATCACCTTCATCACATTCATTCTTCTGAACAGAGATTTCTCTTACAGGAAGGTGGAGGTGAGACCAGCAGTTCCTTCAGACCGACCTGCTGTCTCTGATCTGGTGAAGAATCTGGACCTGAACCAGTCTATTTTACAGGACCTGGACTGTTTCTACAGGACCCGCAGTGACCAGGTCAGTTCACCCTCGTCCCAACTCGTCTCCATAAGGTTCAAACTGTGGTAAGGACCTTCAAGCTTTAATTTAAAGGTCCAAATCTGGTTTTTAGTTAAGTTCAAAGGTCAGGAACAACTTGGGGTTCAAAGTGTACAACACAGAACCCAAACAAAAAGTTCTGTTCATCTACACTTGTTTGGTTGTGAACCCTGATTGCTGCTGATCTGTTTCATGTTGCTGCTGATCTGTTTCATGTTGCTGCTGATCTGTTTCATGTTGCTGCTGATCTGTTTCATGTTGATGTGTTCATGTGTGCTCATCAGCTCACACAGACTCATGTTCGTGCTGCTGTTCAACGTATTGTTTTTATGCTGTTAGTGCTTAGTGTATGTTTAGTTCATGTTTATCTTAGTCCATATCCATCCATCCATCCATCATCCATCCATCCATCCATCATCCATCCATTATCTTTTACCCGCTTATTCCATTTTGGGTCACGGGGGTCGCTGGTGCCCATGTCCAGCAGTCACTGTGCGAGGGGCGGGGGACACCCTGGACGGGACTCCAGTCCATCACAGGGACACTTACGGACATTTTAGCATTACCAATCAGTCTAACATGCATGTTTTTGGTCTGTGGAAGGAAACCGGAGTACACGGAGAGAACATGCAAACTCCACCCAGGAAGGTCCCGGGCCGGGCTTTTTTTCATTCAATCTTTATTTATCCAGATTAGTCTCATTGAGTCACGAGGACTCGTTTTCAAGAGAGACCTGTTTTAGACGGACAACATATAAAGTACAGACAACAATAATACGAAACATTTTTTTAATTGAATAAAAGAAGTTATAAACAGTCAAATCAAGATGCTGCATACTATAAAATAAGATAAAATACTAAAATTGTAACCATCAACCTTCTCACTGAAGTAAAATTTATTTCAGTATGAACTTATGAGATTTACAAATCATTACATTCTGTTTTATCAGGGTTATGATGAGCGAAGTGCTCTGTTAGTAAAATATGGAACAAGATGTGTAATAGCACGGTGGTGCAACTGGTAGAGCTGCTGCCTCTCAGCGAGCAGGTCCCTGGTTCAAACCCCGGTCCAGGGGCCTTTCTGGGTGGAGTTTACATGTTCTCTCCGTGCATGCGTGGGTTTTCTCCGGGTACTCCGGTTTCCTCCCACAGACCAAAAACATGCATGTTAGACTGATTGGTAACTCTAAATTGTCCCTAGGTGTGAGTGAGAGAGTGAATGGTTGTTTGTCTCGTTTGTCTCTATGTGTCCCTGTGATGGACTGGAGACATGTCCAGGGTGTCCCCCGCCCCTCGCACAGTGATTGCTGGACATGGGCACCAGCGACCCCCGTGACCCAAAATGGAATAAGCGGGTAAAGATAATGGATGGATGGATGGATGGATGGATGGATGGATGGATGGATGGAAGATGTGTAATGTCAGATGGAAAGCTCTGTTAGAAGTTGAATTCTTTATTTAACTCTATGTAACTCTGTGGCCCCTCTGTCTTCATGTCTGGAGGACATCAAAGCCTGGATGGCTGTGAACTTCTTAAAGTTCAATGAGGGAAAGACTGAGGTGATGGTCTTTGGAAGCTCCACTGAGACTCCCAGTGCAGATGTTGGTTCCTTGGTCCAGTACATCAGGCCAGCTGTTACAAACCTGGGGGTCAGTTCCATCTGAGGCAGCTGAAGTGAAGCTGATTCTTTCTCAGCAGCGTTTCAAACAGTAGTTCAGGTCTTTGTGACCTCTCAGCTGGACGACTGTAACTCTCTACAGGAACCAGTGACTCGTGTGTCTCTCAGTGTCAGAGGGTCCAGAACGCTGCTGCACAGCTTTTAACTGACACATGAAGGTTTGACCACATCTCTCCTGTTTTATCCTCCCTGCTCTGGCTGAACCTTCCAGGATTCATTTTAAATTATTTTATTTGTTTTTAAAGCTCTTAATGGGCTGGCCCCGCCCTATCTGTCCGAGCAGCTGCATCACCTCTGGATCCCTCAGGTCATGTGACCAGCTGCTCCTGAGTGTGAGCTCAGAGGAGACCGTGCTGCTGCAGCTCCTAAACTGTGGAACGACCTTCAGTGAACATCAGACTCTTCCCCGTCTGTTTTTATAAACCCTTCTTAAAACCATCTCTTCTCCATGACCTCTGACCTCTGACCCCATCTGACATGTTGACCTGTAATTATTTTAATCAGTTTTATTATCTGACTGTATGATTGTTGTACTGTGTGTACAGCACTTTGGTCCTGTGGGTGTTTAAAGTCTATCAATAAAGCTGATGTGGGATTTGACAGGAACATGATCAGAACCCTAGCTGCAGAACTTTGGATCCACTGAAGACTTTAAAGAGGTTCTGGACACCCAGATAATAAAGAACCACAGTCCAGTTTAGAAGCATCATTAGAGACAAGATGTTTGTCCTCTTAGTGACATGGTTCAGGTCCTGGAACCAGACAGAATATGTGGGAACCAGTGAGTTTCTCAAGGTTTTTCTTCAACACGTGTCGTTTGAGCAAAAAGAGACGAGTTCAGAGACAAGAACGATCTGTCTTTTCTCTTTGTTCAAAATGTCTTCATGACGGACTGAGACTGCAGGACCAGGTGAAGGTCAGGCTGTCCTGTCTGACAGACACCCAGCTGTCCTCGATGCCACTGCCACTACTACTGTCCCTACTGCTGTCCCTACTACTGTCCCTACTGTTGTCCCCACTATTGTCCCTACTGCCGTCCCTGCCTCTGGTCACAGCTCAGCTGATGGAGGTTGTCCTGTTTGTCAGGGATCGGTGCCGCTGCAGGCCTTCATCACTCAAGTTGACGGTGAGGTCGTTGGGATCATCATCATCAGAGATGAGCAGGTAAGTGTTTCCACCTGTCCATACGGGCTCAGACCAGCTCAGAGGAACTTTGGTTGTAGATCGTTCAGCAGGTGCAGCGTCTCATCCAGACGCTAACCTACAGGAAGCAGTTGCATCATGGGACAGTTTGTCTTTGTCTGTTTGTCAGGATGTCGAGTACCTTCGTGCTCGCTTCAACTTGGAGAACTTCATCTACTTCAGCCACCATCGGTACGATGAGCACGCTCACGTTCTCCACCATGTCCTCAAATGCTGCTTCCAGAACCTCGCCACACACCTGTTCAAGGAGGTCCTGAGGCTGGCCCACAAAACCTGCCTGTACCACAGAGTCTACCTGCCCCGGTACCAACAGGTGAGTGCAGAGGGGCCTGGTCAGGAGGTCAGCTCATGCGCTCTCAGCTCACACCGTTTCCTTTTACCACACCCACAGACGACTCACTTCCTGTCAGAGTGCCCAGACAAATACGATTTCTGAACACGAGGTTCACTGAAGGAGCTAAAACTAGCATAGCAGAAGCTAAAACTAGCATAGCAGGAGCTAAAACTTTCATAGCAGGAGCTAAAACTAGCATAGCAGGAGCTAAAACTTTCA